CCCCAAAACCCCAAAACCCCAAAACCCCAGTTGGATTAATTAACATTGAAAATGAAATTGAGATTACTTCTGTGGGATGCTGCTTTTTAAAACTTTGGGTTCTTCTTTAGACATCTGAGGGAGATCCTTCTCCTTTTTTGTAAATTTTCCTATGGTTTCCTTACTCTTTGGCTCTTCTGAGGATTGGATTGTTTTTGAGAATTCCTAAATTTCATTCTTTAAGGGTTACCTTAATCTCAGCTTTTGAGCAATTTCATGAGATCTTGAACTGCTTTTTCTTCCATTTGTTACATAAATCACACTTTACAAAATCAAGTCTCACCCTGTTGATTGCTTTCTCAGCCAAATCTTTTGGGTCAATGCCTTTATTCTTCAACTCTTTCATCTTGGTTAATGAGGGAGGTTTGATCTTGCCTACAAAATTATAGTAAAAATACCATATTTGAAATAGACGTATAATTTTGAGACTTCAAGAAGATTATAGGAGAGATTATTTTCACTTCTGTGAGCAATTATCAGTCAAGGCTGGTTTCTTTTTGTTCACTTTTGCTCCTTTCATTACTTCATCACAGTTGTAGCAATAGAATAAGTTCCCACCCTGGTACAAGCTCTGGTTTAGTTGAGTGATCGAGTGGAGAGGGATGTGGGATGGATCTAATAAGTTTCTCACAGCTAAAAATCTTTGGTTCAAACTTACTTGTCCTATCTATCAAGTCATTAAAACAAAGCTTACCAAGGTACTTCTTTCATCTATGTGCATAGCATTTAGTTGGGTTTATCGCATTTTCAAGTCGATCCTAAATAATGAGAAAAACTTTCACTGAAAACTTACAGTGACCATCTCCTTCAAGCATTCAGTGTGATAAAAATGAGCAGTTGGGTGGCCTAGAACTCCTAAACTCCATAATCTTACATTTATAGTTCATTATCACATTCTCATCATCAAATACAATATTCTCTTCAAAGCAGATACAACAGCTCACCTTCTTTCCCAAGTAAAACGCAATTTTCCTCACCTAAAAATCCTCACCATTCAACCTACACAGCCCTGCTCTTGCGCTGGATCTCTCTTCAGGCGCCCATTAGCCCACCTAGGCCTTACCTCTGCACTCAAATCTCCCTCTATCTCCTTAAAATCCTCCAAATTCTGCTCCAAATGCCCTACTTCCTCTTTCAGCTGTCTTCTCTGTTGCTTCTTCAGCTTCTTCTTCAGGTTCTTCTTAGTCTTCGCCCTAAACACTAAGCCCCCTTGCTCTATTACCTCTTCTTCTTCCTCTTGTTCTTGCTCTCACCTAAACACGGTCAGTAGTCACGAAGAGAATTTAGCCTGAAGCCTGAAATGGCCTAAGTGGCAAAGTTTGAAGGGATTTTAGAAAATTTTGTACGTGGAAGGGAATTTTGGAGGTTTAGGAGGAAGAAATTGGGGGTTTGGGGTACCTTTAGGGAGGAATTCTTCGGATGAGCTGTGGGATGGAGTTTGAGGGGGGTCTGAAGGGAGGTTAGGTTGAAGGAGAAGTTGGAAATGGAGATAAAGGGGGTTTTAGGGGAATTGGAAGGGATGAATAGTTTAGAGCAAGGGGTTAGAGTGATTGTTGTTAGAATAGGGGATAAGTGGGCAAAAAGGCAGACTGAAAATTAACAATGAATTATTTGTATTTAAGGATCTGGATATAAAACTGTATGGCTAAAGTTTATTTAAAATAAGGATTGGGCTCTCTTTTTGTTTTAATTTGGTAGATACAAAAATGTATTTGATATTTTTGCCCCCAAAATAATGTAAAATGAACCATCTTTACCTTTAAATTCATTTTCTTCAAGTGCAAACTCTTCTACTTCGTCTTCTACTTCGTCTTCTGATTCATCTGATTTCTCTAATTCAGCTATAAATTAAGATTAGTATCATCTTAACCTCTAAAGACCCTGCAGCCATAAGAAAATGAATAATCACATATCTATACTAAAAATCCACAATTACAAATCATTAAAACTTATACTATAAAGACACCCTATGTAACTTTTCAAATCCCTTAAGACGAGCTTCAAACCCTGAGAAGCTACCATAAGCAAGACATAGTGCATTTACCTTCTATATCAAATGAGGAATCGCTTTCTTGTCTGCTGCCTCTCCACTTATTTTGACCCTAAATCTTAAGTCACAGCCAATGGAGAAGAGTCAAATGAGTGAACGATTTTACAAAATTTAGTGGTGTCAGTTCGATGAAGTCAGGAATTTGGGAAAATTATTGAAGCTTTAAAACCTCCTTACTTCTATTGGGCTGAACCCTCTGAGGTATTTTTGAAGAAGACTCTGCAGGCATGTTGATTGATGGAGGTTCCTGAGTGGTCTGTAAGGCCATGTAGTGTTGGTAAGATGATGGATCTGTAAGTGGAGGGTGAATAGTTACAGAAGGTATCCCTGCTTGGCAATAGTTAGACCCTATGGTGCCTTTGAATAATCACTGAAGCTTACTAATTGATTTTGAATGGCAAGTCCTTCCTTCATTTAAATTGTTCCATTCTTTAAAAATCTCTCATGGTCAGAAATGTTTCATAAGTTCCTTGAGACCTTTCTCTTTGGTCACTTTCTCTTCCTCATCTAGTTTGTCTGGTTCAATAAATAAGAGATCGACAAAATCTTCTGGATCTCTAAACGAGTGTTTAACTAATCTCTCATCAGTATAGGCATAATTAAAATTAAGTTTCTAAAGGCCAAAATCTGAAAGGTTTCACTAATGGATCAATATCAAACGAGGTTCAGAAAGACAACCATTACTTCGATACAGAATTAAAAAGCTATTCTTATGACTAGATAGTATAATCCTGGACCTTATTTGTAAAGATGCTTTATCAAAGAAATCTAGCCGTAGTACTCTTCGACTTTAGGTGATGTACTTACTCAAGTATTTTTTCACTAATTTTTGCTTTGAAAATGGCTGTTTGACCTTTAAGCCTCTAAAAGTCACTTTGGCAGCTTACAATGTAATCTTTTACCAAGTCATCCTCCTTTTTAGGACAGTCTGGAATTGAGATGTTGTTCAGGAAGAAGTTTATCCTGAATTCTTCACTTGGTTGACAACATCAAGATTTCACTGGTGAATGGGTCTTAGAGGTATGGTTGGGTGATACAGCCTTTGGACAATTTGGTAGCTTGCATTTCTCTCCCTTGGCCAGAAAGTTCTCACACTGCTTTATTAGATCCCAAGCTGCCTCTATGGTGAGGTCTGTAGCAGAGAGAACAATGCCCATGAGAAGTATATCAATTCTTGTATGCTGCTTTTCTGTCAAGAATTTATCTAAAGAGATTATGAAGCATAATTTACTAGCATCTATTATTTTATTTGGCATCTGCAAGACACTCTTTAGTGAACTCCCAATGATTTTCAGTAGATTCTTCAACATTAGCATTTAGAGATGAAGAACAGATAGGGCTATTAAAATGGTTCATCAAAAATTCTGACAATTTTTGGTCAAAAAATTGAATACCCCAAAATTCATCAAATCCCAAAATTCAGCCAAACTAACCCTACTACCTCAAACCCCATCCCTCCTACCCCAAAACCCCCCATTCCTCCACCTTACTCATCTCCTTGCCTATCCCCCTTCTTCACCCCTCCATCTTCACTACCACCTCTATCAATCCTATCTCCTTCACTCTGTTCCATTAATATTAATTATTCCACTAAATCTCCTTCTAAAGGGGTTTTGGGGTTTTGGGGTTTTGGGGTTTTGGGG